CTTTAAAAGTGGAGTTGATGTCCTAATGGCTGCAGCAATGGGGGCCGATGAATATGGATTTGGTTCTGTGGCAATGATTGCTACGGGATGTGTTATGGCCCGCATTTGCCATACAAATAATTGTCCAGTTGGCGTAGCCAGTCAGGTATCAGAGATTGATTTTCTTATATTTTATTATGAGTAATGATACACTTAAGAATCTTATAGACTTGGGCTACTCCATGACATGGAACGACATGTGGCTTGCCATTTGGTTTCCTGCTACACGTGATATAAGCATGGGGTGGGTGTGAGCGATAAACATGTCAAGCAACATCAATAGCCACGTTCTGAAAAATTAATTTAAAGAATTGTCAGGGGAGTATGTTTAGCATTTTCCATTTTTTTATTGTTTCATCTTTTTTCTTTCTAATGGAAACTGGGTTGCATTATTTCGTTCCCTTTTATCAATTTATTTTTAGAGAGAAGAACTGCGTGCTCGATTTCCTGGAGTTCCTGGTGATCTTGTCAACTTTTTCTTATATGTTGCTGAGGAGGTAACCTTCCGTCTGTTTTGTTTTTTTGTTTTGTTTTTAATTTTCATATATGAACAGGATTCGTGCTTAAATTTCTCATCTGCTGTTTTATTTTTTGTTTATTTTTGTACAATTGTACTTTTGACAAATCCATACGGGTCATTCTGTCAAAGTTGATCTTCCTTATATGATATTGTTTCTTTCTTGATTATTGTTTTCCCCAGGTAAGAGGTATGTTGGCACAGTTGGGATATGAGAAGTTAGACGATATAATTGGGAGGACAAATTTACTTAGGCCGCGAGATATATCTCTAGTGAAAACACAACATCTTGATCTCAGTTATCTTCTCTCAGTATGTATTTGAATAATTCATTTTGTTTCTTGCCCCTGCATTTAATATTCTTGACATGATTTTTTCTTATAACTTCCTTTGATTCCAGAACGTTGGATTACCAAAATGGAGCAGTACCATGATCAGGAATCAAGATGTTCACACTAATGGACCCGTTCTAGATGATATTTTACTAGCAGATCCAGAGGTAACACTTGGACTGATGCTTGCTTGTTTAGCTAAATAAACGCTGTTTGTACTTTCTGATAACTCTCTAGCTTCAGATTCTCTAAACCAACAGCTTTATGGGCATCCAGATAGGAAGATGGGATTTTACTATAGGTTTGATCTGCATGTTTGAAGTACTTAATGTTCCATTGTACTAGTAAGTGAAGGAAAAGAGATTTATTAGGTCTATTGTGACATAGCTAATGATCACAGGGAATCTAATTGTGTCGCGTGTATGTCTATTTTTTTTTTCTTCGTTACGGTTATATATATAAGCTTTAAAATGTTGACACTCGTGTAATTATTTCCTGTTTGTTGGTTTACATTTTTCTTAGATGACCCATATCTTTGAAAGGCCAATTTTGAGAAATTGAAAAACCCTCAATTTGTTAAATAACCTAAATGATACATAAAATATTTCCTGTTTGCTGGCTGCATATTTTTGTTTTGTTGATTTTCTATGAACTTATCAGACATTTTCGAATTTGGGTGTTTGATGTATGTTGTTGTGGATGAGAATCTTGAAGATATGTTAGTAGGACATGTACATATTCACGATAGGTTACAGATAAAAGGACTTACTTTAGAGTTAGAATCCTACAGTTTTGGGAGGATGGATAATGGAGAGAACTGCTTTTTCCATTAGTTTGTGATTTTAAAGTGGGAGGTTGCCCCTTTTCCTTAAGTCTTTGGGGGCTTTTGTGGAGGGAGGTTGGGACCGTTTGGGTGATTCCGAAAGGGTGCGCTGATTTCCTTTGTTCTGATTTTGAGGTTTGGGGTTCGGGGAAGCGCGCCTCAACCTTGTGGGGCTGTCTGGTTCACTCTGTTTTCTGGAACATTTGGATGGAGCGTAATAGGAGAATTTTTGAAGACTACAAGGGGGTGGGTTTGTTCCTCCCTGTTAGTTTGGGAGGGGTTGGTGTTGTTTGTTTCTTTGTGTGTTGGTGTTGTTCTCCAGTTGTGGTTTTCTTATCCACCTCCGTGTTCTTTTGCTTTATAATTTTCTTTCTCTCAAAAACAAAAAAAAAAAAAAAAAAAAAAAGGAAATGTTGTTGCTATTATATCTTTGGCTGTTGAGTCCAAAATTTTCTGAATTTAATGATTTTATGAAATTTGGTTTTAATTTGATGCTAGAAGATGTCTTGTTGTTAAGCATTAAGTATTATATATTACAATGAGGGAACAAGAGTAGGTATTTTGTGTTAGTGATAGTTAAAAGTTAGCAACCAATTCCTTTCTTTGAAATTGTTCAAACATGTATGTATGGAAAGAAAAGCAAGAAAATTGATACTGGCTTCTAAAAGAAAAACTAACTTGACGATCAAGAAAATGAATATAAAAGAGAGCTCAGAGAGTCATGCATTTTCCTGCTGTTGCAAAAACTTGAGGAAATATTATTTGTATTTTTACAGATATCAGATGCAATTGAGAATGAAAAGGTGGTCTATAAGACCATAAAGATATACAATGTTGACCGTGCAGTTTGTGGGCGTATAGCAGGAGTGGTTGCCAAAAAGTATGGTGACACTGGTTTTGCTGGGCAGCTGAACATAACGTAAGATGGAGCATGGTCATGTCATATATAGATATATTCTCAGGTCTGGTCAGCATATATTTTTGGGATGAAAGCTAATGAGTTTTCTCCATTGTATTCAGCTTTACAGGGAGTGCTGGACAGTCATTTGGGTGCTTCTTGACACCTGGGATGAACATTCGGCTTGTTGGAGAGGCAAACGATTATGTCGGAAAGGTATCTTTCATTTGATGCAATCTTCAAGATCTCAAAGGTTCAAGTAAACTAGAGACTTGGCTTAACTTTATTTAAGTTCGTTAGTTGAATATTCTCCATTGTTATGAGTCTGTCAATTAGAGGAGTTGCTTGTTAACTATGATGTATTAGCTTAGTGGTTGTCATTGAAAGTGATTATCATGTTCAAGAGGTGCATTTTGTTGCAGGAATCATGTTTTCATTTGGGTTTTATAATGTTGAAACTAAAATTGGGTTATATCAAGTTTGGCTAATTTGATTTGCCAACTCTACTGTACTATTTTCTCTATTCTAAATTTTGAGCAGTTACTGAATACTTTAATCAGTTTTACTCATGAGAGTCTGAAATTGGAAAAATCATTTCTGCAAGAGTATTTCTGGCGGCGAGTTGGTTGTGACTCCAGTTGAGAATACTGGGTTTTGCCCTGAGGATGCAACTATTGTAGGGAATACCTGCTTGTATGGAGCCACTGGGGGTCAAATCTTCATTAGAGGGAAAGCTGGGGAACGATTTGCTGTAAGAAACTCACTTGCGCAAGCAGTGGTTGAAGGCACCGGAGACCACTGTTGTGAATACATGACTGGCGGTTGTGTAGTTGTACTTGGAAAGTGAGTAGCATCTCTTTACTAGCATAGTTTTTGTGACATGAAAATACGAATTATATAGAGTTAATGTTCAAGCTACTTCTGTTTGATTTCTGACAGAGTGGGTAGAAATGTTGCTGCTGGAATGACTGGAGGTTTGGCATACATTCTTGATGAGGACAATACTTTCATCCCGAAGGTTTGTGGTTATTGCCTTTTCTTTTCAGTTTTGTTGGCTGTCCTCCTTGGACATTATATTCTTTATTACTATATGATATCTAATAAATTAATCAATAAAAAGCATCGATATGTTTTACAAATATTATCTTGGTCTTTATTGCACGGCTGTGTATTTTTCTTCATAAGTTTGGAGACCTTTTTATATCTATCTTCATAGCACTGCATGGCTTTGGTAATCCATTTTATCACTTGTTCCCAACTAAATTATTGGTTTAAGTCCGTCAAAATGTGTGAAGCTCAAAAACCACCTCTTTTGTTTTCGCATGCTTTTATGATTACAACAATTGTCGATAGTCATCATTGATCATAATTATAGCACTTGAATAATTCGTGTACATGTCTTTTTAATTAGTAGGTAATATTTGGGGCGCCTTAGGAAAGAATGTCCTGTTTTATAGACATAAGTAATAGAAAGGGAAAGCTAGTAATAAAAACTTGCTTATGGTGAATTTTCATGCAATATAAACAGTAATTTATTGCCTTAGATTATGGTGGTGATTCTCATTTTCTGCAAATGTATCGATTGAAGGGTGGCACATCCACTTTCATTACTTGAAACAGAGCACTAAAGTAATTCTTGACTCTTAACATTTTGACTACATATCTTCGTCACAATTGCAACACCATTTTTACAACTATTATGATTGATTTCTTTCCATTTCTGTACACATACTTCAGCTTGGATAATTTATTGTAAACCTATGAACAGGTAAATAGGGAGATTGTGAAAATCCAAAGAGTAAATGCTCCTGTGGGGCAGATGCAGCTGAAGAGCCTTATTGAAGCCCATGTTGTAAGTGCATGAATCAAAGATCAAACAGTATGAAAATGTATTATTATAATGTCCATGTGAATCACCAATACTCAAAGAATAAGATTCAAAATTCACTAATTTTTTTGGTTTAAGGAAAAAACTGGAAGCGGCAAGGGCTCTGCGATCCTGAAGGAGTGGGACAAATATTTACCACTGTTTTACCAGCTGGTTCCACCTAGTGAAGAAGACACTCCAGAGGCATGTGCAGACTATGAGCAAACAGCTGCTGTCGATGTGACTTTGCAGTCCACCGCATAGACTAATATTGGCACTGTAGAATGAAACCCAACATAAAAGACCCAGAAGTTTCCAACCTACCTTGTATAGATCGTAGAGAAACGTGACTGTTGTACTGGAAAACTCGGTGCTAATATATGGGATTTCGAAGGGCCTTTGCACCATTTCGGACAACAAGCTACAAGTAGAAGAACATCACTGCCTGGAGTCTAAGAATCTGATCATAACATTCTTCCACTAGTGCAGATGTATAGTGAGTGCTTGAGGTAGAAATTGTAAATTCAAGCTTGTTCATATAGTTCTAGTCTTATCAAAACTGCTGCTGTTGAGACTGCAAGCCAGTTCAGAGCTCCACTCTTGTGAAAGCTTTGGTGACAGTACATTTGCTTGCCATTCTTGTTCCGTTTGCGCCTAATGAAATGAAAATCATCTTTGAGCTTTTATTTAGATTACCAAATTTCATATTATGCTTACCCGTTGCATTTATTTTGTTGTAGTTTACAAATGTGAATCCATGTATTTTTGGGATTTGAAATACTCTTAACCACTTGAGCCACAAGCCCTTGCACATCATCATTCCTTAGAGTTTGAAATATGTATAAACAAACTAGGGAATGATGTTTAAACCTGCCCTATTGTGTCTCAAGTAGGGGTGGTTGCGGTTCGGTAACCGCGAATTTTTACTCAAACCGCAACCCGACCGATTATTTGCTGTTTGGTAATTTTTGAAATCGCAAACCGACCGCGTTTTGCGGTTTAAAACCGCAAGTTCTCAAGCATTCACAAAAATATAAATTTACAACCTAAATAAATAAATACACAACCTCAATTTCTCAAACATATATAAATTCACAATTTCCTCAACTTTTCAAGCATTCACAACCTAAGAAAATTAAAGTTACAATTCCAAGCGTTTCAATTAAAGTTAAACTTCTCAAGCATTCCAATTCCAAATCCTTTAAAGTTACAAACCAAAAGGAAAATGCAAAGCAAAATGAATTAAAGTTACAACCAAAAAGAAAAATCCAATTCAAAGTTAATTAAAGTTACAAACTAAAAGGAAAATGCAATGCACCAATGTTACAAACTAAAGTTACAAACTCAAGTGTTGGTGGTGAGTGGATTTGAAGAACCTCGTTGTGTTGTTTGAACACCAATGTTATCTACAAATAAAACAACATAGTTTAGTACATTTTATTATAAGAAGAAGCATAAATAACATTAGCATAAATAAACTAATTACTTACAAGTTGTCATATGTTCCATTTCCTTGTAGAATTCAACCTCATCATCCGTGCAGCTATACTTTGCGGTTTGCAGTAACCGCAAGTTTTGAAAATCAAATACTGCAACCGCAACCGCAAATGCGGTTTGGTTCTTAATACCGCAAATGCGGTTCGGTTTACCGCGATTGCGGTTTCATTGCAGTAAATTGTTGGTTAGTTTTTGCGGTTTTTCGGTTTAAAATGCCACCCCTAGTCTCAAGTACCTGCCCCTATTTATTCTGAAGAAATTGATTCCCATCTCAGTTTTAGGTAGTCTTTAAAATAAAATAAAAACACTTTTAGTTTTATTAAAGGGGTGGGGGACGAATCAAATTAATGACTTAAATTCTTCTTTCTATATTTTCTTTAATAAATTGATATTGGGGCAAGGGAAGTTTGAACTCAAGATATGGAGTGTAGAAGTACACGGAGTTACAAGAAGATCCAACAAAGAAAGAGAAAATAAAGTTGATAACATTTCAAAATGGTCATATGAAAATTAGATTTAGGTTCCTTAGAAATTTTTTAATGTAAAAGAAAGAATGGAATAGAATTCAACCAGACAAGGTAAGAGAGACGACGATAATCGGTCTAATTTGGTTGGACATAACTTGGTCAAATTTAGATTAGAACTTCAATCCAATGAATGCCAACAAAATTCATAGAATTTCCATTGCCATTCTTCCTTGTATGGTAAGGTAACTGCAGTTTAGCCTCCCTACTAGGACTGCAGTTTGAAGCAGGCAAAGTGCAGAGGCCATTGTTATGGTCAAGGATGATCAAATTTGAATGGAGTAAATTAAAACAACAGTGTTCAAAATAGGTTGCCCATCGATTAGGTACTAGGTAGGTAGGGAGGTAGGTAGGCATGGCAGGTGGCTAGAGAAGCTGCCTCGGGATTTCCTTAACTGCAAGAAACTTCCTTAATTTACGACAAAAAATGAAAAATAAAATGGGAAGTTTCTTCTTAGTCAAGTTAATTAGCAGACAAATTTTCTCAGTGTTATTTCTTAGTGTTTATGCATTGTACTTGAACTGTACATGCTTTCTATGTCATGTTAATTGCGTGCTAAAATGGTTTACTGACCACAATTGCATTTTCCATGTGCTTTGATTTAATTAAATGAGGTGGCATATTGCTAACTGATCCATCAGCAAGTCGATTTCCCAACCCTCAAACTCTGGGGTCTACTTCAAATTGGCATCCAATCATGTAAGACCCTACAAAATCATCATACGCAAACTTACGAAAAATCTGGTACGTAGTGATGTCTCACTTGTGACATCAATCACATATCCATGTAAGCAAAAATAAAGATCCACTGCATTTCACGCAAAAAAAATCGTGATTAATTTGACGGTTTGACAAACGGAGTCGCTAATAATGTCACAATTTACAAATTTTAAGTTAGCTTTTGGAAATTTTTGAAAGATATTGACCAACTGTTACATCTCACAAACCACGAAGATACAAAATATATACATCCCAACCCAACATAACAACTTGCATGGTTAGGAAAAATCGCATTCTCCCTCTCCCTGGCTGAATTCTAAAAGATACATTCATGCACCATCACTTGAATTGAGCCAAAAGTTGTTTACCTATTCTTTCCACGGTATTACCTTAAGGCCCCCTTTTTGCATCAGATTCGTAGAATCGGTGCCTCTTTCTATATATATATATATATATATGAATATATGAGAGAGAAAGAGGGAGAGAGAGAGAGGGAGAGAGCCAGTTGAACCTGCCCCATTGTTAAGAGCTCAACTTGTCGTTGTACGAAAAGCAGGGTTTGCTGGTATGCCTACTGGACCAAAAGGCTGCCCTGCCTACTTAGACATAATGGCGATGGGTTTTGAATTGAACTAGTTATAATAATGGATGGTTGATGTGCAGCAGGCCAAGCTGGGATGTTATCAAAACAAGAGGCCTTCAAATTCTTCTGTCTCCATCATTTATTTTTCTCCAACTTGAAGCCAATATAAAATTTTATAGATTTCCCCAACTTGGTGGCATACTAGGTATTATTTAGATGAGACACATTAGATCAACTCATCAATATTATATCCTAACAAAATATCATATCCTCACAAATACTTTTTAATTTTTTATTCGTCAAGCATCAAAATGTTGAAAAATATTATAATAACAAATCTTCACAAAGGAAAAGGATGTAATTTAGTGGATTTACTTTTAGGTAGCCTACTATTGATTGAGCAATTTTTGTTTTTACTTTTTGCTGGGTGAAATTCTTTTATTTTTTTTATTTTTGTTAGGTGAAATTCTTTTAGGTAAACCACGTTAGTTCATAACTTCATTGACTAATTTCCAATAAGCTTTAACATAAATAAATACAAGTGAAATGCACCCAAAAACATACATAGTATCAAAATAAAAATATATTCAACAACAAAATTGAAATTGTACATATTCAAGTTGTGCTCTATACTCATTGAGAGAATTGAAATATTTTGTTATTGTTTATGAATCAATATTGTCAGCAAATTCTTTTTCAACGTAGACAATAATAGAAACTGTTATAAACTCATTCTTCATATGAATTGCACCGCGTCCACCCTTTGGACTACCTAATTGAAAAAGGTGTCGTTAAAATGAATATTGACTAAAACAAATTAAGAAAACAATGGGAAAAAATAGAAAAAGATAGAGAGTTAAGGTCATGAGTGTTTACTAAGGGATTATTTCTTAATTGAGCAAGTAAATTAATCTAAAATCACATTAAAATACATTTATTATATTTTAATTTTCAAAAAAGGCCACATGGGGTAGAGCCCATGGTAGCCTTTAACTTGGTTCCACCAGTAGATAGACGGAAATATTTTTGCTCTCCACTTTAATCCAATGTGTATGTTTATCACAATTCTTAATTCTTAATACACGTGGTCATTCAGTTCATAGACATAACCATGATTAACTTTTTACTTTGATATATATAACCATAGTTATACTTATGACCACGTGTCAAGTGTTGAGAAGAATAATGAGCATACACCTTAAGTTAAAGTGGTGAACAAAAATGCTCCATGAGCTTACCCATAATATCTATTTAGAAAGATCATTGTTTTTTTTTGTTGGTAATTTGTTGACACTTCCCAAATTTTGATCGCCTATATTTTTGATATAATATTGTCAAAATAACACACAACCACCAAAACCAGAAGCAAAAAAACATGAGGTTATGATAATCCACAGAGAAATATACAATATTATTATATGTTGCCCATGGTTTAAACTTTAAAGTTAAACTTACTTTTTGGCTTAACTCCTAAAATAAGCAAAATGAGTCCACGTGGATGCATGCATGTCGGCTTGAATTAAGCAAAACGAGGAAAAGAAATATCTCTCTCTCTTTCTCTCCCCTTGTTCTTTTCTGTTCTCAGTGTCTTCCTCGTGCTCTCCCCCTCTCCCCCTCGGTGCTGGCTTTAACTCTTCCTCCTTTGACTCTTTTGTTTTTTTTGGTCTCAATTTTTTGTTAATTTATTATTTAATTAAAATATCTGCCTCTTCATTTTATAAATAATTTATAAGGTCATTCTAGGCAGATAGATTTTCTAGTTTCCCAACATAGGACGCGTTTGGTTTCAAGGGCTAGATTCTCGGTGTTTGGATTAGTACCATCCCCCCTTCTCTTTACCTCTGGCTTCATTTTATGCATACTTAACTACCCAATACGGCAATTGGGCTCTGTTTTTGGTATTAAAATAAGACTGCACCCCAAACCTGCTAGTGGGTTCCAACCTTCCAATCCTTCGACCAAAAATAAAAAAGCATCAGGGCATATTCACAAGAGCAGGAAGAACTTATGCGTAACACCTAACTATCAGCCGTCATTGGTATGGATTTATGTAGGAAATTACAGATCACGCACTAATGAGGATTGCTGATAGCGGGACTGAACACTGATAGGGCTACATACAATACAGAGACCTTACCAACGGAACCGACTCTCGTTGTTAAAATAGCAATGTGACCTTGTACATCTCAAATCTCAGCAATTTGAATGTGAATGTTTATTGTGAATAGGATATTATGATATTATGATATTATGATGTATACGCCTATTGTATATGATAAATCTTGTACAGTAAACAGTATCACTATATATATATATAACGAATTTCTCACAATAACAATATAGACAAATCTCTCACAATCTCTCACCAATGTCACTAAATGATATATACCACAAATCTCTCACAATAACAATGTGACTATATCACGTCAATATTAGGGTCGCTCTCTCGTTCACGCGAGGAGAGCCTTGACGGCTAGAGTTAGGGTTTCTCTAGTTTTCTTTACTCATTCTCTGCGCCATCTCTCTCAGTCTTCTCTGATTGTCTCTTTGGGTTCTTCTTGGTGTATTGGGTACAACTTTTTTTTGCTCTTTTGTTCTCCATGGCGTAGCTACACCGGCTTCCTTTCTGGGTTCCCAAGGAGGTAGCCGCTGGTGAGAGGTCTCCATCTTAACGCTACAGAGGTGACCATTCGTGAGCTGTGCAATCGATGAACGTTCCTACTATGAAGATCTTTCTTCAAGCTAAGAGGCCAATCTTGGTCTCCCTTACTTGTCAACTGGAGTTTTGGATCAAGAAAATTGGAGATGGCAGTTGGTGTTTGGCTGGATCTATTATGATGCTCACAATGCGCTTTTGACTCTGTATGAAGAACTATGATGCTTTATTTAGATCATAGAAGGTTTTCTTTGACAGTACCTATGTAGTTATGAGATGTGTTTCAATGGTTTTGCGGTTTGATAATTGGCTGAATCTATTACGATACCCATAGTACGTTTTTGACTATGTACGAAGAACTATGATGCTTTCTCTAGATCATATGAGGACTTCTTTGACAGTACATACGTAGTGATGAGATGTTGTTTTAAGGGTTTTGTGGTTGAGTTTTAGGTTTGTCTATTTCATATAAGTTGTTTGACTCTTGTGTTTAGTCAACAGCATGGGTGGTACTCTTTCTTACTTCAGGGTTCTATTTTCTCTTGAAAGATTTTAACGAGGCTACCGTTAACATGCTAATTCTTACCATGTAATGTTCCTTTCGGTTTAATGAAATACAATATTTTCTCAACAAAAAAAAACAAAAAAAAACAAAACAAACAAACAAACAATGTGACTGTATGATATCCAAGATATATACGACAAATCTCTCACAATAACAATATGACGTACCATATGATATTTGTAAGATATATACAACAAATCTCTCACAATAATAACGTTACCCTGTATACAAACAGTCTTTCACAATAATAACATGACCGTATGGTGCATAGTACAATACATCGAATCTCTCGCAATTGTATCTAACGAATCTCGACAAAATTGATAATAAGTTAAATGAACATGACCGGGGACTATTGTATATTTTGGGTAATTTTGTACTGCCAGAATCATGACTAGTCTCTCTGCCATTATGAGTAATTCCCAACAACAGATGTTACAGTGCCAGATCACCATGGAAATGGATCTGCTAAATTTCCTTTTAAAAAAATAATAATAATAATAATCCAACTACAAAAAAATAAAATTTGATGCTCCTTCTCGATTTTCCCACAAATTAAAATAAAGACAGAGAAAAAAGAAAGAAAAAAGAAACCGATATATTTATATGAACAGGAAACCTCTACATTACTTCCATTGATTCTACATGTCCTTCATTGATATTCATAATCAAGATCTAAGAACAAAAGGAGAGAAAGAACAAGACCTACCAAAAAAAGAAAAAAAAATACAGACAGACAGAGTAGAGGAGGAGCTAGCATATTTTTCTTTTTAGGGTTGTTATATTTTTTATCAGACGAAGGGAGGGAGGTGATCAATGTCGGGCAACTGCACCACGGAGGGCGAGAGGGCCAGCAAAAAGAGGAGGAGGAGAATGATGACGGGAACCAAAAGCAGAGCGAATGGCGGCGGCGGCAGCGGAGGCAGCACCAGCGGCAGCACCACAAGGGTCACTGCGAACACCACCATTAACATCCCCGAAACCGCACTGAAAAACTGGACCATGCAACAACGAAACCCTAAAAATACTCTCTCTGATCCGGAGGCTGATTTCTGTAGGTTGATATGACTAATCTGCCCCAACCCTCATCTCTTTCAGCATTTTGCCTTTTTTTTTCCGCGTCTCTTTCGTTCTTCTTTTCTGCTCTTGGAAGGAGGTGGTAGTTGGTGTGAATGTCAAAGTTGGTAGAAGGCTTTTTATATGTAGAAGGAGAGATTGTGAGAGTTGTGGTTCCCACGGGGCGAGTGAGGAAAGTTGTGTTACGCGTCTGAATGAGTGTAACAGATTATTTACACTAACACCACTGCACCAACACCCTAAAATGACAATGTTAACATCAGATATTAGATTGCACATACATCATCGCTCAAGTCTAATCCCCGAGGTTATTTGATCTTTGAAGAATTTCTTTTTTTTATAAAGGAAATCGTCAAATTTTTCGACGGAAAATTAAATAAAAGATTTTTGTAAAAGCAATTTGATACCTCAAAACAACACAAATCTCCAGTCATGTAAATAACACATATGTTTAGGGTTTAAATTGGTAGGGGACGGAAGGTTCAGAAGGGTAGAATGGTAAATTATCGGTCAGCTTGAGGAGGGGAAAAGATGTCCTCATTCAACCAACCGCGACGTACGTGCACGCGTCATATTTATTCTGGGTTAGGAGAGTAATGAGTAATCAGCGTTGGCTATTAATGCCCCTCCAGGCCTATTTTTGTAATTGCACTAATTGGCCGGTTTGATTTTTCTTTTTTCTTTTTTTCTTTTGCTTTTATCTTCATTTCTATTGTAATAGGCACGTGTTGTTGACATATTGAGAAAAGAAAAATAAAAAAAATGTTTCAACAACATTGAAGAGAATTTCGTTTGAATTTATTATTGTGTAATCACTTCTGTAATTCAAGAGATCATGATTGTATTTTAAATGTGTGCATAACCATGTACTCATGCCAAATAGTAAATTGGACAGGACAGCACGTCTGCATTTTTGTTGAGGGTATGTAAATTGTTTCTTTATTTACAAATAACTCCTACGTATAATGTGATGAAAATTATAATACGGATTTAAAAAAATGATATGAGAGCGAAGGAAGTGCTAAAATACATATATAAATTTAAACCTCATGACCGGTTTGGTTTAAGGTCTAGGAGTTTGAGAATGGAATATAAGAAGTTCAATTCACGAACCAAATGAGCCCTTAATGGATGTAATCTAATGAATGGTGTTGCTCACAAACTTGTTATATATGCCTTATTTGTTCTCTTAATCACTTCAACTATAAGGCTCTTATTTTGAAGAGTGGATTAAGGTGAACTTTATTTGATTCAGACCTATTTGGAGGATAATTATGATAAGGGTCAGGTGTGTTGTGTTAAGATGAAGAGAAACTGAAGAACATAGTAAAGAAACTGTAGAAGCAGAGAGAATTTTAGAGAAGGAATTGTAGGTTTCTGTATTTTGTTAAGCTCTAACTGAGCACATTACAATCTTTATATCAGCCTAACTACAGTCTTAGTTGTCTACTCACTTTACTAACAACTTTAACCACATTCTAACAGTTTACTCATCGATCTATTGACACTTGGCAATATCATCATCATTGATACTCTTACATGTTGGTATAGGTGGCTTGATACAAGTCATGATGTGTAAATCCCACATTGAATATTACAACAATAATTTACAGTTGAAATATAAGTGGTCCACTATTAATTGTATTAAAACCTCACACCTAGAAGTCCATTGGGCCTAATCCTACCCAAGGTATTGGACCTAAGTGGTTAAGGTGGGGACAATCGATGCATGGTTTGGATAGATAGTAGTCTTATAGGGCCCGTTAGTACAACAAGGTTATTTCCTTATTTCTCGATTAAGACGACAATTGGTAAGCTTGTGCAGTTGGATCGCAAATACCAGAAACCTTTGGTTTTCGACCAATATTTCCAGTCATGAGCCGACACACACGATGAAGAGGGGTGTGTCGGTCTAATGCAAAGCTGAGTTAAAACCCCTTGATTTTTTTTATTTTTTTTATTTTTAAGGTTTAATAGGCCTTAACAGTGTTAAGGCTCTATTAAGTTCAAAGATAGATGTTACTAAATTAGAGAGGGAATATAGAGGAGACATGCATTTTAGGGACAGAGAATCTGGACTCCTCAACCTTGGCCTCATATAAAACACAGAACCACTAAGAGCACTTCCACCGATGAGGAGGATCCTTGGCAAGAGGGGGCCCAAGAAACCAAAGGCAGCTCTAACGCAAGAGTTCCAGCCCTAGCCAATAGTAGGCCCCAGCAACCTGGGCAAGCCCACAGGCAAGTTCAGTCCGAGCAACTGCCTGGGCAAAATGACACAATGCTAACGTCATAATGACGTCAGCAACAAAAAAAAATTGAAAAACAAAAACCAAAAAATTCTGAATTTTTATATATATAAATACTTAGTCATATTCTTTACTTCCCACACCAAAAACTCTATACAAATTCATTTCCTTATATATCATGTGAATAGTAATTGCCCTTGCCCTAGCCCATGGGGATGGCAACCCTTGCCTTGTCATTGCATTGCCCTTACCCATAGGGGTGGAAGTGCTCTAAGGAATGTTAGTATTAAAAACATAGACACCAAACTTAAAAATATATACCCAATTATGAATTACGACTCTTGTGTTTGGACAAATAATATTAAAACTCTCTATCTCTCCTCAAATTTGAAATCTTAGACAAGTTACTGTGATTCATGAGAAATCAAACAATCCAAACCTTCATTTTGATTTAAAATAAATAAATAAATTTGTTTCAAGGGAAGAAAATCTTACTTCATCAAATTCAATGTACTAAAAAGAAAAAACTCAATGTAAGAGATTTGACACGGGATCAAGAATACTAAAAAAGAAAGGGACAAAAAAATGTCAAGATCTAACTCCTTTATTTATACAACTCCCTCGTTCAACCTTCGAGTAGTGGATTGTTAGAACTAATTCTCATCTTATGCCCATTTAAGATCACGTGTTCCATACGATCTAAGATCCTATGAGAGTATAGAAAACGTACCTTAAGGTCAAGTTAGTATATTGACCTACCAATCCAATAAATCTAAAAGCACTCATTTCCTTTCAATTAAGTCTTTGTTTCTTTGTTGATTCAAAGAGGGCTTGAGAGATCAATTGACAACCGAGCACGCCGTGACCGAGCACGACAGTCTACCCAGCACAACGCAACACAAGTAGATTTGTTACCAAGGCTAAGGACCCAACAACTGAGGAAACGATCCTAACTTGGCCTTAAGTCATTTGACGAAGTCAGATCTATAGGCACACCCCACCATACCACCCTCTTTGCTATCACGGCCGTTGGCACGGCCGTGATAGCTAGCATGCCGGGCAAAGAACTCACATTAAAGAATGATGACTTTACTCCTAAATACAATTGGTTGTTGATTATTTTATTTTGAGATAATTCGTGTATTTGGCCAAAAGAATTTTGAAGCCAACAAAATTCACATACGTAAATCAAGAATACGAAAAAGAAGGTTTGAATTTATATTATTTTTTTAATGTTGATTCCATTTACATTAATTTATATATTTAGAAAAAAGAAAAAGAAATTAAAGGGTGAGGGGTTCTAAGTTTTCTAACATCGGCAAACCTCCAGACAAATGAAAAGTTGAAGAAAACTAGTTGATCCATACTAATCTCAAACAGGAGTGACAACCATATCTGGAAATTGAGACAATGGAGAAAACGCCAGTAAAATGAGGACGGCCATGATCAGTACAGGAACAAAGAGAAGCACCAACGGCGGCGGTGGCAGTGGCGGCAAAAGCAGCGGTAGTACCACCAAAAACACAGTCAAAATTGTCAAAACCATGATTGATATGACGCTAAAGTTGCTCAACATCAAAGCCCTGCGCACACAAATGTTGTTGAGTCTGTTTGAGGAACGCATACCACCCATGAGCCCAATTCATGCAGCGTCCGCACCCTCCATAATTGCAGCATCGAAACGTATGATCCGCTTCAAAACCAAAGTAAACAACACGAAGAAATAACAGATTTCGATAGAATTAGAGCACTCAACTCAAAATCAAGTAACAATAGATGCACAAGTACCAAATCTTATATACTGTGTGTCTCTGATGCAAGGCTTGACTTCTCCGATGTGGGAAAATGCTCTCTAAATAGAGCAAGAGATGGCGTGATTTATATGTATGAGATAGGAAGACCAGAATACAAGTGAAAGGGAAATGGGAAATGGGAAGGAAAATGATATAAATAGTTGAGTACGGAAGATAGAATTAGGTTAGGTGGGGCTAGAGCTAGCCTTTGTCTCCGTCAAACCCCAATCTTTTTCTCTTATGTCTTGGTTCAGCCAACCAAAGCTTATTTTACATCTAAATTCTAATGAATAAGGACTATTTTTGGGTTCATTGTGCGGGGTCATATATTTGACACTTTGTATTTTTCTTTTTCTTTTCTATGTTTCTCTTCTTGTCTTTGTCTTCTGGCTTGCATAGCCAAAAAGATAACTACATACATCTAATGTTATCTCTTTATATATAGGTACATCTAATGTCCAAATATTGATATTTCTTTAATTTAATTTCTATATTGTTTCTCATTTTTAAATTCGAAGAATGACTAACTGTTTATCTAGTGATATTTTTCTTCTGAATATTCTACAATTTGAATCAAATGGTAGAGAAAGCATAAACCGAGGAAGGACACATGCACTGGTGGACCCATTAAGTTTTTAGCGGATGTGCAATTTTGAAACGTTGAAAGCTTTATATAAAAAAAATTGGCAATCAAATATCCTTAAAATTTAAACAATACCAATGTCATTCATAAGTCATAAAAAAAAATATAGCATTACAAATAATCTACAATTGTTGTAAAAGAAAGAAAGTCTTGTTGTTAAAAGCCTTTTGTCCTTTTATATGCAGCCCCTAGATAGAAATAGGTTAAAGTCAATGAAATGGCAGCCCTACAATGGCTTTTTCGGCCACCTCCTTGCGTCTTAATAGGTCCGTCAATGGACATGTGCCCCCTTCTTATTTAATACCTTGATTTTTTGTTTTTTTTTGTTTTTTGTTTTTAAGTGTGGCGTTCCTTGTTTAAATTCCTAGCTGCTGATTTGAATTCCCTCCCATCACACGTTGATAAAAGAATATATTCAAAGAATGAAGATCTCCAAAAGCATTTCGATCCTCTGTGTAAACCATGTGATTAAGGCGTTGGCTTAAGTGCTGGTTTTGAATTAAAGGTCAAATTAGAATATAATTCTTGTTTCGACCCAATTATTCAAACACGAGAAAAACATGAGTAAAATTCTATTTGGTTCCACAACAAAACATACAAAGCTCGCCGTCATTCTATTTGTCAAAATGTTGACGTACCTTAATTCCCCCATCTCAAAAATATTAAAATAAAAGGTTACTAACTTTAAGCATCTCCCCATCCGAACAAAAAAAAAAGTCTTTCACTATTCATATATATCTAAATCATTTGACATAAATGATGTCGCAATCTTTCATTCATTTCAAGTTTGAGCCAACAAATATGTAAGATATAAACTTATGTAGGGGCACATTAAGTGATGAGAAAATTTAGTGCACACATTATCAAGGGCTACTTTTAGGAGTTCACCCAAGACTTCCAAAACCCTAGGACCAATGCCTATCCACCGTAATAAGGTTTATATTAAGCACAATGGGATTTTCCCAAATGCATATATCAATCCATGAGGTTTTATTTTTTATTTTAAGACAAAAATGATAGACTGCATTCATAATTTAGACCTAAAATTTGTCAGTCATAAGGACCAATACAAATATAAATAACCACATACAGTTAATACAAATACAAAATCATAGTAACCATGAGTGGTTAATCTAAATACGAAAGAGTCCACTAGCAACAGTAAGCGCACAAGGTGTACCTTCACTCAACCACACATAAATTCCAGCTAAAAAGCTGAAAGTAGTGGCGGATCCAGGATTCAAAAGTCAAGTAGGTGAAGCTTGCATTAAAAACTCGATGATACGAATGAATTTCATTAATAAATGTAAAAAGATACACCTAGTCAGAGGTGCTTTAACGAGCCTTACCCTCAAATATGCATCTCTATACATAAATAACAGCTTAACCCAAAAAACAAAACAAAAAACAAAAACAACAAGTAAATGCAATGCAACACAAAACAACACAATTTAAATCTTAAATTCTTCACAGCCAATTGGGTTGCTTTGCTTCTTTTGTTTTTTTAAAGTACAAGTGGGCATGGGTGGGGAATGTCGACTGGGCCAGTAGGGACTTATATATTGTTTTCTATTATTTTTTTTAAGGAGAAAGTTTGAGTGGGCTTGGCTCACATTACACATGTCGCATGTGGGTTGAATTTGGATAGGCATAAGTTGATTTGTATATGGGTAATTTTGTTTTGGGAAAAATTGAAGTATACAGGCCTACTCTGCCCTTGGCGTACGACCGCCACTGGTCACAAGCCTGGAAACCAGACATGTAACTTAATGCACCAAACTACAACTGTAACTACAACTTTTTAACTGTTATAAGTAGAAAATATAAGTAGATACTAGAAACCCGCAACAAACTCATACGCTTATTATAGCTCCAAAAACTACAGCACAAAACAAGTAAATACAAGCTGATCTACCACCACATCACAAAGACAGCCAAGCAGCCACCAAACTCAGCCAAGACAGAGGAATTGGAGGGGATGGGCGAGGAGCAGAAGTGGGGTAAGAAGTGGAGGAAAGTGAAAGAGGAGAGGGATGGAGGCGACCGACCCCAAGAGGAGCGGCAGTTAAAACTTTTCTCACTTTTCTCTCTTAGAGATCACTCAAGTGGTGTGTTACATTCATGATTGAAATGGTATTATGAGTCAGCCAAACAAAAAATGTTGAATAACATATCATGGAACCAACTAGCAGTTGGTCATCTCTAAGTTGAAAGCGTCCTAAATTTATTAATTAAAAAAAGAAAAAACATACCAAGCACTCAGTTAAAATAAATGACGACAACATAGTTGTCATGTCTCTTCAGTGGGCTGCAAGTGAAGAAGACAAACTCTTCCCCATGGTGAGGATTAAAACACCACCACAGTACTCAACTCTTACATAATAGATTTAAATTTCCAACAAAAATGCGAAACAAAAAACAATGAAAATACAAATTTGCACGTCTCTGCGTGATTAGATCCTAAGACAAGTAATTGTTTTCTGTTTCCATGTTTGAAATTCTCTGGCTGAACCAGTGGATCTTTGAAATTCCATCTTCATCTCAATTATTTTAGATTCTGCATTTGTATGGAGACTTGACAAGGTGGCTTTTAAATCAAAATGAACGAGAGTTGTTATTGGCACTTCAAAAAAAATATATCATCTAGCGTCCCTCGCTTGCGAAAACATCGAACAGAAATTATACCCTCGAGCAGCCAATGATGTATTTGTTTTACTTTTTGAATTAGCAATAGCAGCTCCTTGAAAGCTTAAAGATTCACAAGATATTTCGTTGCATGCGCTGAATAAGTAGATTAATAATGAGTTACATTACATGCATGCATTCATCCCTAAACCTCATCTAAAGTTATTTGTTTTTATGTTTCTAAAGGTTTGCAGTTCATTGAATCATAACTGAAGAAGTAACACGAAAGACTCAAGCTGGTCCCTCCTCGACGAAAGAGCCATTTACTCTACAATATTCATTAAAGTTTTAATTACATAAGGAATATTGTAGAAGCTTCCTGATAATCTCTAGCTTTTTCGCGGGCTTTGGAATTTAGGGTGAAGACGGATTGCGGTTCCTTCTAATCGCTTTCTGCGCGGGGAAGGTAGGGTACTTGATTATAGCCCCACCACTAAATACTTATGTATAGAGTTGTTCGCTTAATCATGTCTGAAATTTTGTACTGTGAAATTTCTCCTCAATCATATTAATTATCACTGTAGTTAGTCCATGTAAATGATTAAATTTGCATTATTTATTGTTTTTTTTCCACGAGGTGTCCACACATTTGAAATGTGAGATTAATCCTTGTTCGGGGTTCAGCTTATCTCTGGCCACAAAGTGCTTCCAACGAATTTCAAATCCCTGCCATTGAGACACTATGTAACTCGCCAACTGGAGGTGGCAGTTTACTAACCGCAATATGCTACTTTAACTGCAATGATAATGAACAAAGTTGACAATTGACATATATAACACTTTCCTACAACATGCAATGCATCTCTCTCTCTCTCTCTCTCATCCACAAATATATAACTATCAGCCCTACTCTTACGTAAAGTTTGAGAAAAAAGGGAATGATTCTAACCATATCCTTTCGTTTTCTGTCCCTACAAACATATACCTTTTCTTTAATTATAATAACCACTTGGATATACAACATAATTTTTGTTATACTGAGTACGCAGGCTCATCCCTGTCTCACATACTTGTCTCCATCTTCCCGCGGTGCTGGGGCAAACAATGTTCTAATAATAATGGCATCTTTTGAAATTTATGCTATTTTATAATATGGTTTTTTTATTAGTCTCATTCGTACACTACAATATGGTTTTCTACGCTCACATCATACCTTATCACAATCTCTACCATGCATGTCTTTTCCACCGCATGTACTCATTAATGTAATCTTTGAAAAAATATCCAATTGGCGCATGGCCCCCCCCCCTGTGGCCTTTGGAAATGGGTTGGGCCATTTAGGTCTGATACCTTTTGTATAATGACCAATAGCCTCGTCCAAAAGTGCCAGCTGAATTTGAGTTACTTATAGGACGGACTTACCTAAGTACTTATGCTCTTGTTTGGCGTTCTACTTAAAAAAAGAAAACTAAAAAACTATGATTCTTTTTAAAAACATGGAGTTCTTAAATCTATTTTTAAGATTCAAAAACTTGTTTGGTATGCAACTTGAAAACCGTTTTCAAATCTTAA